GTAGCTGGGACCACACACGCCCACCACAATGCTTGGCTATTTTGTTGTTGTTGCAGTTGTCATTGTTGTTTTAGCTGGTGCAGGCTGGGTTCAAACCTGCCAGCCTCAAGATACTACAGGTGTCACCCTATGCTATCATTTTTATTTTTATTTTTTGAAACAGAGTCTCACTCTATCACCCTGGGTAAGTGTTGTGGTGTCATATCTCATAGCAACCTCAAACTCTTGGGCTCAAGTGACCCTCTTGCCTCAGCCTCCTGAGCAGCTGAGACTATAGGTATCTGCCAAAATGCCTAGCTAATTTTTTAATTTTTAATAGAGATGGGTTGTACTCTTGCTCAGGCTGATATTGAACCCCTGAGCTCAAGCAATCTACCTACCACAGCCACCCAGAGTGCTAGGATTACAAGTGTGAGGCACTGTACCTGCTTTAATAATTTGGTGCTATTCCAACATGTGCTTATATTATAACAATGTATCTTTTATGAATACATTAAGGTTATTTCTAACCTTAAGGTTATTCATTCAGGTTATTTCTAATTTCTCATCATTAAAAACATGGTGAGATGAACAAAGCCTTTATAATTTTAAACTCTGCATTTGGGAATAAAGGGTTTGAGGGTCTACTTTCCTAGTTTCAAACTTCATTGAAAATATCTTTAAACAACTTTCAATTCCTAATAGAGTTTGTTTAAATGAATAGATATTCACCATAGAAGAAATATTTGAAAAATGTTCAAATAAAGCATCCTTACCGCTGTTACCTTGGACTTGACACCTTGCCAAAAATTTTTCACATCATAGTTGTTCTTTATGGAGAGCGTATTCCATACACGGATCATGCCATCCCCCACACCTATGGCCAAACAGCCTACGTCCACAGGAGAGAAAGCCAGACTGTAGGCAAACCCACCAAGGGACGGCAGAGTCCAGCAACACTCCAGGGTGGCCATGTCCCAACATTTTATCTGAAAGATTAAAGGTAAGGGCTTACACATACAAAGGGAAGAGAAATAGAAAAAGGAATCCATTATTTCAAATGGCATAGGCTCAAAGAATGGGTGAGGATTATGTCATTTCAGTCTTCTGGTAGGAATTAGAAAAAGTATCTTTTAGAAAAAAACATCAGCAATAAATTATATAGCTCAAAAGGATTTTGGAATATATTTATTCCTTTTAATTATTGCTTGTTTAACAGAAGGACCTAAGAGAAAATAAAGTCTGTGAAATAAACCTAGCTTACCTGCAAAGCAGTAAGGTAACAGACTCTTAAATAAAGCTAATTCTCTCAGAGATTTCACCAAGAATAAATCATTTTGGTACCTAAACTATAAAGCAGGATGAGCCATAGTTGAAGGATCTTACACATACCTCCCTAAACATGCCTACTCGCCTTTCATAAGTCTGCTTTAACCAAAAGCAATTTGGTGGTTCCTCAAATTTCCCCTACTCCTATACTATTGATATATTTAGTTTCAATCAGTAATGGTGACTCTAAAATCGGGGCCAAGTGTGGGGTATAAAGACTGATGGGTGGTTTGAAAAAGCCTTCTAATTCCATCCAAGTTATAAACTGTTGAACACAAACAAGCATTTCTTACATCTCTATCCATGGATGTGGAAAGTAGCAGCTGTCTGTCATCGTCAGTTTGTAAAGGACATAAATTAAACACAATTCTTGAATGATTCTGCCCTTCTGATGAAGCACTGAAGAGGGTATACTTCCGTCTCCAAGACTGGGTGAGATCCCATAGCAGCAGTTCACCTCTGTGAAGGAAGAACATAAGTATTAATTTCTGCATAAGTGATCTAAAAACAAGTGATTATTGAGCCAGTTTCAAAATAATTTCTGTTAATTGATCCTTTAAGAAAAAAAAACTGCATATTTTTAAATATGCATAAAATATGTCTAGAATACACATAAAAAAATGTGTGTCACTGGTCCCAGAGAAAGGAACCAAGCAGTTAGGGAATACAGAGGTGAGAAGGACGCTTTATTGTTAAATTCTTTCTTTTTGTTTTTTATCTGAGACAGAGCCTCACTCTGTCACCCTGGGTACAGTGGTGCCATGGCATCAACTTAGCTCACAGCAACTTCGAACTCTTGGGCTCAAGTGATCCTCTTGTCTCAGTGTCCCAAGTAGCTGGGACTACAGGCACCCGCCATGACACCCAGCTAGGTATTCTATTTTAAGTAGAGATAAGGTCTTACTCTTACTCTTGCTCAGGCTGATCTCCAACTCCTGAGCTCAAGCAATGCATTCACCTTGGCATTCCAGTATTATAGGCATGAGCCACTGTTCCTGGCTTACTTTCATTCATTTCTTGAATCATATGAATGTATTAGACTATCTTTTAAACAGATTTCTCTAATAGCTATAATTATAAAATATCACCAAAATTTGCCTAGCCCCCAAAGCTTTAAGATATATCTCTTTTATGGGGTAGTGAGGGAATAAGGCCATAGTTAACATTTTTAGGAAATTTCTACATGCTTTACTATATTTCTTCATTTAAGGGACTCTGTCATTAAAAGCACTTCTAGGCTCGGCGCCTGTGGCTCAAGCGGCTAAGGCGCCAGCCACATACACCTAAGGCGGCGGGTTCGAATCCCCAGCCCGGGCCGGCCAAACAACAATGATGGCTGCAACCAAAAAATGGCCAGGCGTTGTGGCGGGCGCCTGTAGTCCCAGCTACTTGGGAGGCTGAGGCAGGAGACTCGCTTGAGCCCAGGAGTTGGAGGTTGCTGTGAGCGTGATGCCATGGCACTCTACCCAGGGGGATAGCTTGAGGCTCCGTCTCAAAAAAAAAAAAAAAAAAAAAAAAAGCACTTCTAGAAGCAACTAGAAGCAGTTGCTTAATAAATTTTGTTCACTGAATGGCCATAACCATCCTAAGAGATAGAAAATATTAGTAACTATCTCCCTTTTCTATGCACAAAGTGATAAAGCTTAAAAAAGTAAACAGTCTTGCTCATGAACTCAAAGCAAAAGTAAAAGACTGATTCTGAAATTTAGTTCTGCCTGACTTTAGAGTCCGCACTACCAGACTATACTTACTTGCTCTTTTTACAACTGTTAGTAGACAGAACAGGTATTAGTCGCATGATTTTCTTATTCCAAATGGCCCATCATAATATAAACCTTGGCCATTCCTTTCTCCATCTTTTATTATCCATAAAAAAGTACCCTAGGGGGCAGTGCCTATGGCTCAGTGGGTAAGGTGCTGGCCCCATGTATCGAGGGTGGCGGGTTCAAACCCAGCCTCGGCCAAAACTGCAGCAAAAAAATAGACAGGCATTGTGGCGGGTGCCTGTAGTCCCACCTACTTGGGAGACTGAGGCAGGAGAATTGCCTAAGCCCAGGAGTTGGAGGTTGCTGTGAGCTATGATGCCACAGCATTCTACTGAGGGTGACAAAGTGAGATGCTGTCTCAAAAATAAATAAATAAATAAAAAGTAGCCTAAGAATCCCTGTGGTCAAACAGGAAAAATAAATATGGTAGACTTACAAACCTCTGTAAGTTGACCACCCAAAGGACTGCAACGAACTGGTCAATAATGGAGGTGGTCTACATAAGGAACTAGGTCTATTGCACTGATACATACATGTGATGCATGTTTGTCTATGAAAATTAGGTCAACATAAGGAAGTGGTTAACTATAGTGGTTCTATTGCATATCAGAGTAAACAACCAAAAAAAGGCTTACCCAAAACAGCTAGATACCAGCTGTGTTGGCTGATTACTGGACCAATGGAGCGTCAACCAAAGACGCTCCTTAACAGTTGGATCTATACCCCCTCCTCTTCTTTTCAGAAAGGGTAATTTCAAAGTCATCACTCCTGCAGATTAAGAGAAGGTCAATGGGCACTCAAGACAATGAAAGTACAGGCGTGAAGTCACCAGCAATTCACAATACGCAGTCCACGGTTTAAAAGTTTATTGGTCTGGTTACTTAGAATTTAGATGGAAATTCATTCATGGAAGTATCATTACAAGTAGTGGTTATAACAGTCTAACTACATTAAGGTCAAATAAGCTTTTGTAGTCTGTCACACATATTAAGAATATATTTTATCTGGGAAAATGTGCTCTCAACTAGAACGGACAACCCATGTGGTAACCTAACTATGTTGTATGCCATAGAGTGGTAACACAACTCCAAAGTTGGAAAGACAGAGGTTGAGATTACTTCTTTTAGTTGGCAAGAAATCCAACAAAGAGGAAAAATTTGGCAGTCAACATGTAGCTAGGGAGTATCTCCACAAAACACACTACTAACCAGTGTTTTTTTTTTTTCTCTTGAGACAAAGTCTCCCTATATCGCCCTTGATAGAGTGCTATGGCATAACAGCTCATAGCAACCTCAAACTCTTGAGCTTAAGCGATTCTCTTGTCTCAGCCTCCCAAGCAACTGGGACTACAGGCACCTGCCACAATGCCCGGCTATTTTTGTCATTGTTGCTGTAGTTGCTGTTCAGCAGGCTGGGCCTGGGTTTGAACCCACCAGCCTCGGTGTATATGGCCGAACCTTAACCATTAATCTATACCATGTCTTCAAATATACTATTAGTTACCACTGATGAACCACAGGTGGAGCTTTCAAAAATAAATATGCCAGCACCTGATTCCTAAAGGTTCTAACTCAGTAGATCTCATGTGGGATCTAGAAATCTACATTTTCCAAAAACTCTCCATATTACTCTGGTGTACAACCACAATTAAGAGCCATTGTATGGCTCGGTGCCTGTGGCTCAAGTGGCTAAGGCGGCAGCCACATACACCTAAGGTGGCGGGTTCGAATCCCCAGCCCGGCCCGCCAAACAACAATGATGGCTGCAACTAAAAAATGGCCGGGCATTGTGGCGGGCGCCTGTAGTCCCAGCTACTTGGGAGGCTGAGGCAGAAGACTCGCTTGAGCCCAGGAGTTGGAGGTTGCTATGAGCTGTGATGCCATGGCACTCTAC